GCATTTCCAATACAATTTTATGCTACAAAATTCAACAACTTAGCAAAATGGATACATTCTTTGGAAGACTCTGTATTACTTTACTAGGGCTGCCATAAACCAGGTGGCTGAATCAATAGAAACTGTTTTTCTCACAATTCTGTGGGCTAGAATCCAAGATCAAGGTGTAACAAGGTCAGTTTCTTGATGCCTCTCTTCTTGGCCTGTAGGTGACCATCTTCTTCTGTGTCTTCGGATGGTCTTTCTTCTGTGCGTGCCCATGTCCTCATCTCCTCTTTTTATAAAGACATCAGTCATATTGGATTAGGACCCCTCCCTCCCCAATGTCCTCATTTTCACTTAATTATCTGTTTAAAGCCCTATCTCTGAATGTAGTCACATTATGAAGAACTGAGGGTTAGGACCTCAACATTAGAATTTCGGGAGACAATACTCAGCCCATAATAGACACAAACTACCAAAGCTCGCTCAGGAGAAAGTAGATACGATGACTAGCTCTGAATTTATTACAGAAATGGAATTCATAGTTTAAAACTTTCCTGTAAAGAAAACTCCAAGGCCTGGTATCTTCACTGGTTGACACTACCAAACATTTAAGGAAGAATTCATATCATGTCTGTACAACCTCTTCCAGAAAATAGGAGACGAAACACTTCTCAACATATCAAAACCCACAAAGACATTATAAGAGAAAAAGCTACAGAACAATATCCCTATATATAGATGCAAAAATCTTAACCAAAATTTTTACAAATCAAGTTCATCAATATATCATGACCAAGTGGGTTTATTCTAGGGATGTGGAGTTCTTTAATATTCAAAAGTCCAGCAATATAATCTATCATATTAATAGATTAAGAAAACTATATGATCATATCAATAGATGGGGGAAATATTGCTAAAATCCTATAAAAACTCTTAAAAACTCTCAGCAAATAGGAATACAAAAAAATTTTGCTCAATCTGATACAGAGCATCCAAGACAAAACTTGGGTTACCCTCTTGCTTAATGATGAAAGAATAAATGCTTTCTCCCTAAGAACAGAAACAAGACAACTTCTATTCAACATATTAGAGGAGGTTCTAGCCAGTAAAACAAGGCAAGAAAAATAAGTAAAATGCATAAAGAGTGTAAAGGATAAAACTATTTGGAGACAATTATTTTATAGAAAATTCAAGAGGATTCATTTTTTAACAGCCATTAGAACTAGTAAGCTTGGTCACATGTAAAAATAAATTACATTCTGCCCTGGCCAGTTTGGCTCAGGGGTTGGAGCTTCGGCCTGAGGACCAGAGAGTCCCGGGTTCAGTTCCCACTAGGAGCACGTACCAAAAAAAAGGAAAAAATAAATAAATTGCAATCTAATATGTTCAGAATAAAAAATTAGAAATTTAAAATTTAAAAATACCATTTATTGCCTGGCTGGTGTGGCTCAGTGGTTGAGCTTTGACCCATGCATCAAGAAGTAGCTGGTTCGATTCCTGGTCAGGGCACATGCTGGGGCTGTGGGCCCGATCCCCAGTGGGGGGCAGGCAGGAGGTGGCCAATCGATGTTCTCTCTCATTTATGTTTCTTTCTCCCTTCCTCTCTCTCTAAAATCAATAAAGAAAAAAATTTAATGCCATTTATAATGGCTACAAAGGTACACATAAATTTAGTAATTATGTGTTATAACTATACACTAAAAAACTACAAAACATTGCCTAGTGGAATTTAAAGATATAAGTAAATGGAAATATAGAACATATTAATGGATTGGGAAGTATTTCTCCTGAAATTAGTATGTGGATTCAACACAATCCTAATAAAATCCCAGCAAGCCTTTATTGTGATTTTATAATAAATCTTGAAATTATGTAGTGTAAGTCTTCTGAGTGGTTCCTTTCATAGTTGTTTTAACTAAGTATTTACACATAAATATTAAAATCAACACCTGTCAATTTCTACAAAACAGTTTAAGGTAATTTGGGCAGGGATTGTATAGTAGATCAATTTAAGGAGAATTGATTCTTAACATTAAACTTTCTAATTTATGAACATAGTGTAACTCTCCATTTTTTAGATCTCATTGATCTCAGTAATATTTTATATATTCAGTGTACAGGTCTTATATATCTTTTCATATTTTTAAATGGATATATATATAATATATATCATACACACAATATAAATATATATATATATTTTTTTTTAATCCTCACCTGAGGATATTTTTCCATTTATCTTCAGATAGAGTGGGAAGAGGGGGGAGCAAGAGAGAGAAAAAGAGAGAGAAACACAGATGTGAGACATATTGAGTGGCTGGCTCCCACATGACCCCCACCAGGGCCAAGGTCTGAACTGCAACCAAGGTACATGCTGATGACCAGAATGAACCTGAGACTCTTTGGTCCACAGGCCAATGATCTAACTACTGAGCCAAAACGGCCAGGGCTCTTTTCATATTTTTAATGCTATATAATTTGCTATACACACAAAAGATGCCAAGTTTATTCAATGAATAAAGGACAGTCTTTTTAATAAGATGGAATCAATTAGGTATCATATAGAAAATACTAGATTTTCACCCTTACCTCATACCACATGTAAAATAACCCAAAGTATGTTATAGATATAATCTCAAGATCTAGAACTATCAATACAGAAGAAAATCTTTGTGTCATTAGGTTAAGCAATGATTTTAAAAAATATTTTAACTGATTTTCAGAAAGAGAAAGGGAGAGGGAGAGAGAAACACCGATGTGAGAGCGAAACACCAACCAGCACCGGCCGCCTCCTGACGCCCCTTCCGGGGATCGAGCCTGCAGCCCAGGCACATGCCCTGAGCAGAAGTCAAACTGGAAGCTTCGGTGCACAGGACAATGTCCAACCCACTGAGCCACACCAGCCAGGCTGGCAACCATTTTCATACTTAGGATGTAAGAAATGCAAACTATTAAAAATGATAAAGTGGACTTTATTAGAATAAAAATATTTCCTCCTAGAGAAAATTAAAATACAAGCCATAGACTGACAATATTTATAAAGTATACATCTGATAAAAGATTAGTATCCAGATTATATAAGGAGCTCTTACAACTCAGTAGCAGGGAGCAAACAATTCACTTTTCATTCAAGTTTTTATTTTAATCGTACATTTACATGCAGTTATAAGAAATACTTCTCATGTAGCCTTTGTCCAGTTTCCCCCAATGATACCATCTTGCAAAGCTATAGTACAGTATCACAACCAGGATACTGACAGATACAGTCAAAAGATGGAACGTTTCCACCACCAAGAATCCCCCGTTTCCCCCCCCCCCCGGGGACTTCTGCGCATGTCAGAACTAGGGACCCCGTGTCTCTTTAAACAATTTTTAAAAATATACTTTGTGCTTTGTTGTACTTCGAAGTCCTAGGCCTTGACCAAATCGATTATTTTACATTTCAGCCATGTCCATTCTGCTATTCGGCCCATTTTTGAGGGTTTATTTTGGCAATCTTTGGTATTTTCTGTATCTGCTTCATGTTTTTAGTTTGTGATTGTTTCATAGTAGCAAGCGTCCTCCTTGCCCTCTCCAGCGTATCACAGTTTGAGTCTGTTTGGCCCACAGCTCCATCCCCTTCCGGAGTAGTTCTTACGTCTGTAGAGTTCGCCGCTCTTTTCGTGCGGTTGGTTTTCTTGTTTGATCTTGGCACCTGGGCCCCACCAGCCCGTCTGCAGCCTTCCTCCTGAGTGAGGAAGGGGCCATGTGTGCGACCAACAGGGTGTGCCCGCCTCCAACTGCAGGGCTGAGGGCGCCCTGTGTCCCCGCCCACTGCCAGGCAGGGCCCAGGCGTGGAGGCCAGGGATGCCCGACAACAAGAGCTGATTTCCCCACGGGAGCACTGTGGTCTTAGGGACAGAGGCCAATCCCGTTGGCGAGTCACCCTAGACAAGTAACTGCATGTGAACCTTCATTGCCTCATCTACAAAAATGGGCATATTCCCAGCATGCAGCCACAGTGAAGGTTAAATGTTATTTAGCAACACATGCAGGACGCCCAGCGGAGGACCCAGGACACAACAAACACACTATACAGGCAGCTGTGATTATTTCCCCCTCACGTCACTTAGAACGCTCCTGCAGTGTGATCGGAGGGTACCCCGACCGGCTGTGTTTGCGACCGCTTGTGTTTGATGGTACATAACACTCATTCCAACTTCAGGCTGACTTTTCCTTCCGGCTGCCCTGCCCCAACCCATGGCCGGTGTCTGGGTCTGCTCTGCGGAAGGCTGTCTCCCGTGTTCTCCTGTGAGACTCCTTCCTTCAAATACCACCTCCTCCAGGGCGCCCTCCTGTACTCCCACGGCCTCTGCACTTCCTCCAACATCACCTGCGACTCCGTGAATCAACTGTTCACACGTCTCCCTGCAGGACGCCTGCCTCGCACCCGGGCCCCAGCCTGCAGGACGCCCGCCTCGCACCCGGGCCCCAGCCTGCAGGACGCCCGCCTCGCACCCGGGCCCCAGCCTGCAGGACGCCCGCCTCGCACCCGGGCCCCAGCCTGCAGGACGCCCGCCTCGCACCCGGGCCCCAGCCTGCAGGACGCCCGCCTCGCACCCGGGCCCCAGCCTGCAGGACGCCCGCCTCGCACCCGGGCCCCAGCCTGCAGGACGCCCGCCTCGCACCCGGGTCCCAGCCTGCAGGACGCCTGCCTCGCACCCGGGCCCCACCACTGACGGAGGAAGCTCTGAGAAGGGGATAAACGAAGAAATGATTTGCAGAAAGCAAAACATCCCCGCTGTGCCAGCCTCCCCAGCATCTCAGAGGAGCCAAAGCAATGAAAGGCTGACCCGCGGAGACACCAGCTTTGCAAACACCGCCGCGTGCTCAGAGGAAAACTTGACCAGCGGAGGCAGAGACACTTTATCCCCTGCATGTTCAGTTTTCTCTTCTTCCCATTTCATACCCTCTCTAAACCATCTGACTTTCCCCCCGTTTTATAACAGGAAATGAAAACAGAAACTCTCTCTTAAGCATTTTTTATTTCTGCCATTTGGTTTTCTAGTTCGGTGCACATGGGCTGGGCCGTATTTCACACTCAATAGGACGCACCCCATAAAACAGTGTAAATCATCTGGCACAGTTCTGCTTCATCTGGCTGCTATTGCTGAAACCTCTATTTCTAAGAGCACAAAAGATACAGATGAACAAGGACAGCGTGACTGGCAGCCAGATCTACCAGGAGGGGAGAGACCGAAGACACGGGCTCCTGGGGGCTGTCCACAGACACAGAAGGAAACAGCCACACAAGAATCCCGGCAAGACCAGGACCGCTGGGGAAACGCGCCAGAACCACATCCCCTTTATCACCCCCTCTGGCTCTCGGTCCTAACCGATTCTGAAATGAACACGGAGCCCAAGGTGGCATCAGACCAAAGCCAGCGGAGCCTGCCCGCAGCCTGTCACTGCTGAGCGTGTGCTCTCCTGGGGCCTCTGACAGACCCCGTGCAGGACTGCCCCGTCCCTCACCAGCCCTCTGCAGCCCCAGCCAACCCCACGGAGACCCAGGCAGGCCCTGCCCAGCTCTAAAAGGTCTTGCCCTCAAAGGCCCGGAGATTGAAGGCAGTATCCAGAAACTTCTTCAGAGACACCAGGTGAGTGTTCCTGTTTCCTGTGGCTGGAGCAGCCGCTGGGTCACGGCCAACATACCTAGGGGAGGGGAGATGAGAGGGGATGAGGGAGGGGAGATGAGTGGAGATGGGGGAGGGCCGGCCTGGCCTGCCACTGCCCCAGGGCGGCTGAGCCTATCACTGTCCTGCTGCGGAGCTGAAGAGTCTGGGGCTCCCGACACAAAGGAACTGACCTGCAGGTCGTCCTCTAGTTCAGTTCTGGCTGCAGAACCAAAGCGAAGGTTTTCCTCCATCAGGTGGTACTGATGGGGACCCTGATGGGGAAGCTGACCTGTCACCGGCAGTCACAGAGCCAGTAGGTACTATGGTTTCAGTGTGGCCCAGACAAGGGCAGTGACCAGTTTTGGGTGACACAACAAACGGGAAAGGCTAAGCCAGGACGGGCCCCGGGCCCCAGGCCCCAGGCCCTGCAGAGGCAAAGGGCAGGTGGCTGGCATCACCAGCACCCAGCCTGTACCATATGGGCCGTGCCCGGCGCAGGATGGTCATGAAGCGTGGATTGATGTAGTCATAGTAGCCCATGTTCTTGTGCTCCTCCTGGCACCAAACCAGCTCTGCACCCGGGTACTTCTCCGCCTCTTGCTTGATCAGGTCGAAGGGGAATGGAGAGATCTGGGGAGACAGGAGAAGGGGCAGCATAGCCCGGGGAGAGGGCCCCAGATCTGACAGGCCCGGTACACTGCCAGAGCCAGGCGGCTGGCCAGCTGACCTCCCTCGCTCTGAGCAGGCGTACCTGCTCCAGGCGTGTAATGGCCACTTGCTCCTCCAGGCCCTGGCTACTCCGCTCCTTCACCAGGTCGTAGTACACCTTTCCCGTGCAGAAGATGAGCCTCCGCACCCGCTCCGGGGCCCGAGCCGGGGCCCCATCCTCAGGAATCACGCGCTGGAAGCTGGTCCCTGGGAGACGACAGGGCAGGTAGAGGCACCGGCTCCCAGGGGGCTGGAGCAGCTAGGGAACCAGGCCCGCACCCCCGCACCCGCAGGCTCTCCCCGCCCCTGAGCCTAGCCCCAGGCTGAGATCTGTGGCTGCACTGGGTACCTCCTGAGCCAAACAATGGAGAAGAGGACAGATGCAACTTGAGATGTCACAGGGAAAGAAGTGGAGACGGGCGGAGCCAAGGGCAGAGTCCTGGGAGCGTTAACATTCAAGGTGATGGGGGGTATGATGGGAAAAGGCCCTGGCGGGGGCTGAGGTGATGTCACGTCCCTACATGATGAGCTCGTACCTGAACCAGAGCTGCCCATCCAAGCCCACCCATCACCTGCACGCTAGCTATCCAAGCACCAAGCTCAACGTGGAGCAGCTGTCTCCGGAGACCGCTGCACGGTCCTCCCTCCCTCGGCCGACCAAGCCCCATCTCCTCAGTCCTGACCGTCTTCCCTTCCTGAGTGCACACTGTGTGCCAGGCGCCGGGCCAAGCACGCTGGGAAAACCTGAGAAAGTTACTGTGGTGTCCCCGCAGCCCAGGTGAGGACGGTGAGCAGGCGGGCACAGGCTGCCAGGCCCCGCGGGAGAGAAGCCAGCATGGGTGTCCAGCTCGGGCAGCCCAGCCCCAAGGCCAGAGCTCTGACCTGGTGGCTCGGCAACCTGCCCCCACCAGAGGGACACCCAAACACACACAGGTCGGAACACACCTGTCCTCGCTGCTGAGACCCTTCCTGGCCAGACCCTTTCCTAGGGCACTCTACTCTGCCAGGCCTCGGGGCCCCACACCTCACCCCGATTCTCTACGGGCTCACAGCTCAGTTCCACACCTGCCCCTTCAGGGGCTTGATCTGATGGACCCCGACTCCAGGTGAACGAGGCTGAGAGCTCCTGGAGGGGACGCTGTCCCCAAGGGCAGTGATGCTCATGAGTGGGGAAGAAAGTACGAATGAATAAGATCCAGCCTCCCACAAACGAGGCAGACCGCCTCTGAGCTCCCGGGCACAGCCGGCCCGCCCTGGGGCCAGCGCACTCCTCGGGCCCTGGTGTTCCGCCAAGTGGCCTTGCCTGGCCCAGTGCAGCTGGCCACCTGGCCAACCTCCCAACGCAGCCACGGGCGGGGCCCACAGAGCCACAGACAGAGGTGAGGGCGAAGTCCCGGGAGCAGAGGCCCGGCCCCGGCCCCAGCCTCACATCAGCTGCTCCCAGCATGCCCGGTACATACCAGACACCATCTCGTCGAAGCTGGACTTGGCCTCCGGGTGCCTCAGCAGGGACTTGGGTGTGAAGATGATCAGCTGGAAGGGAAGCATGTGCCCTGCTGCCACTGCCCCAGACCAGCCCCCACTGGCTCCTCACTGCAACGGTGACCCCAGGGCAGGCGACTCACGGGCTTGCGGAAGGGCAGCAGGACCTGCCGGCGCAGCACGTGGAAGTAGCTGGCTGGCGTGGAGCAGTTGACCACGATCCAGTTGCAGTCGTACAGCTGCCTCACCTCAAAGTCCTCGGAGAACGCCTGGGAGGACAGGGTGAGCTGGGAGGTGGCCCGTGGTGCCCAGGCCCTGTCCCAGGGCAGGGTGGGCGGCACTCACGGGGTAGGCATCTGAGTCATCATTGCTCATCTGCAGGAACCTCTCAGGCCTCGCTGAGGAGTGCTCCGGCCCCTACAGCAAAGGCCAGAAGGTGCAGGTTGGCCCGAGGGGAGGGGGACATCACACAGGACAGACTCCTGGCCTTGCAGGGACCCCGTTCTCGGGAAAGAGTGTGGATGGCTTCTCAGAGAACATGCCCTCACTCTGGAGCCAGGACCACGGGGAAGGGCCGGGAGGGTGGGGGAAGGGCCGGGAGGGTGGGGGAAGGGCCGGGAGGGTGGGGGAAGGGCCGGGAGGGTGGGGGAAGGGCCGGAGGGTGGGGGAAGGGCCGGGAGGGTGGGGGAAGGGCCGGGAGGGTGGGGGAAGGGCCGGGAGGGTGGGGGAAGGGCCGGGGGTGAACCAGAGCCAGCACCATGAACGCGTGGGGTGGGAGGGTGGGAGGAAGAGGCCAGGCAGAGGCACTTTCTCCAGAATGTTCTGACCCGCAGAGGCTGCTGCCCAGTGAGTGCTGCTGTGTTGAGGCCCCGCTCCACGACCCCACACATACTCCCTGAAAAGCAGCCCCATGACATTGGCACTGGTTTCCTTACTTTACAGATGAAGGTGAGGGGCAAAGAGATGGAGAAACCACCCCACGATCTATCAGCCAGAAGGGGCAGGTTCGAACCCAGAGTCGGCTCTTCCTCCCGCCCTTGCCCAGTGGGTGCTCTACTTCACGAGTGCGGACAGCCCCACGGTGACCTGCAAACTCCTCCCTGGGCAGCGGGGTGGCCTGCCCCATGGCCACCGTCTGCCCCTGAGTGGGATTCTCCACGGGTACAGTGCCACGGGCACCAGCCAGGCCACCCCGACCCCCCAGCTGGTGACCCTGGCAGACCACGCCCTCCCTTCAGGTGTGACACAGCAGCGGGATGGCGCCCAGGCCTGTCCTGAGGACTCTGCAGCTCACAGGGCACATCGAGTGCTCGGCACAGCAAGCTCTGGCTCTGCAGCCATGTGGCGATGACAGAGGTGACCAGCTCCTCACTGGTGACCGGCCCAAGCCGAACAGCCCTCAGGGACGTCCACTGCAGCCCAGCCACCCAGGGCAGGGAAAGACCGGCCTGGTTGCCCAGCTGACCACCCGGCTCAGTGCTGCAGCAGGGCAGGGACAGCCAGCCCATCTGCCACCTGGTCTGGCTGTGTGAGCCGGTGGGGGGGGGGGTCTCTGCTCTGGCCCGCCCCGCCCCCGCTGGCCTGCATATCTCTGCACAGATCCGGTTCAGATCCAACCCACTGGCTGAGTTAACGCCTGGAGGCGGTTGAAGTAGCGCCGGCACACAGCTGTTGCCAGTGACCAGCAGTGCCTACGTCATCCTCAGCAGCGGCAACACAGACCGCTGCAGCCCCCAAGCAGACCCATGTGCTTTAGGGGTGCAGATGCAGACACTGCAGCAGGATAGCGCCCAGGCCTGCACAAGCCGAGGGGCCACCCACCTCTCCCGCCCGGCCCCTCACCATGCCCTCCATGCCGTGGGGCAGCAGCAGCACGATGCCGTTGTGTCGCACCCACTTGGCCTGGCCGGTGCTGATGAACTGGTCGATGATGCACTGGGCCGTGTTGTGGAAGTCGCCAAACTGCGCCTCCCAGAGCACCAGGGCGTTGGGGCTGGCCATGGCATAGCCCAGCTCGAAGCCTGCACAGAGGACCCGAGACAGCCTGCCCACCTGTCACACTGCCAGGGGCTCGTCAAGCCCAGCCCTTCCTCACGCCCGCTGCGTGCCCCACCCAGCCCTCCAGCAGGCGGGGGAGCCTGGGGGCTCCCTGGGGCCCCTGGGACCAAGGATCTCCCTTCCTGGGAACTAATGCTGGAGAGGCCACCCTCAGCCCTCACTGCACGTGTGGCTAGCTTCAGCCTGATCCAGGCCAGGAGCCACGTCCAGAGACGCCCTGGGAAGGAAGCAGGGGCCATCTACCAAGAGTAGCCCCCAAAATATGTGCAGGGCTGTTGAGGGGCAGGGCTGCTGAGGGCCAGGGCAGAACAGGTTTCTGGGGGACCCTGCCTCTAGGAGGAGGCAGTGAGGGGGGATGCAGCCCGGCCTAGATCAAGCCGAGGGACAGGAATGCAGGGTATGCTCTGGGGGGCCCCGGCCTGGAGAGGGGACCTCGAGAAGGGCAGCTGGAAGCAGTGTAGGGCGGGGAGGGCGAGAGTCGGGCCAGGCTCAGGGCCAAGCTCAGGGCCGGGTGGTGGCCATGTCCACAGTGGACTCTCTGGGGTTTCGGGCCCCACTGGGGCTGGTGCCCAGGAACAGGGCTCTGGTATCCAAAGGACCCCCCCCATGCAAGCAGGGCCCTCAACTGGCCTCTCTGAGGGGCCAGATGGGACAGGACTTCAAGTCCCAGGGCCTCAGGCAGGAACAGCCAAACATCATCCCTTAGGCCTGTGCCAGGCCCCAGGCCACCGCAGGGGCCTCTGAGCCTCTCAGCCACAGGCCCAGTCCATGTCACCACGACAAAGACAGGACACCCCAGGATGTGAGCCCCCTTTGCTCTCCAGCACCCCGGGCCCGCCGAGGCCGCAGGCAACCCACCCAGGACGCCATACTCCGAGAGGGAGCTGTTGCACACGGTGTACGGGGCCTGGTCCGGCCACAGGTGATTCATGGGGACACAAGTCCTCCGGTCAACTTCCTGGTCGTGGAGAACGTGGTGCCGGTGGCTGGAGAGAAACAGACCAGGGAGGGATGGGGCAGGCGGCCCGGCTCCGCTCACCCTCATCACTGCCAGAAAGCCAGCCGCCCCGCAGGGCGGTGACCAGGCCCGGGAAAGCCAGAGGATCTGCTCCCTCCTCCAGGCAGCCCTCCTCCCAGCAGCACACACACCGCACAGACCCGAGTCTCAGCTTCCACCTTAGGAGGGCCCACGAGCCCTGCCCTGTCCACCCCTCAAGTGCTGGGTGGAGCCTGCGACCCTGAGCGGCCACACCGCTGGGCCACTGCCTCCCTGCCCACCCTGCTACCCTCACCTCCTCGCCTGCGCTGCCAGGTTCACAGGAGGCCCAAACTACACAATGAGGGGCGCCGCCTGGCTGAACCCACACCCAGTGGGGACCGCCATGCAACTCAGGGTGCAATGGGGCCACCCCAGTGCCCCTCATGGGAACAGGCCAGAGTGACCAGCAACTGGCACCCAAGAAGGACGGCCTGTCGGATCTGGACGCCATGGCACCTTGACTCCATGACTCGGTGACATGGCAGCGTCCAAACTGGGATCGAAACCACCCAGGACGCCAAGGAGAGGATGTGACGGGGACCACCACCTGGGATGAAGGCTCGGTGGGAACAAGCACATGGGGGCGGGCCTGGCAGCGTCCCCACCGTGCGGACCCAGGGACCCGAGGCTTGTCCCCTGGGGGTCAGAGTGGCCCAGGGCCCCCCTGATGGCCTGGCCCCAGGGCTGGGGCTGGGAGGTGCTGATGGAGTTAGCAGTGATCACCCCGGCCAAACAATGGCCCCCTGGGCCCCGCAGAAAGGTCCATGGAGACGACCAGCTCCAGACCCTCGAATGAGCGGGCGACGCCGGCGCAGCTGACGCCCCAGCTCCCGGCAGGCTCCCCGCGGACCAGGCGACGTGCACGAGGCTGCCGGGCGAGCCTGCCCTCACCTGAACGTGCCCCTTTCCACATCCTGCCCGCTGAGCCGCACGTGCACGCCCTCCTGGAGCAGGGAGCCGAAGGCCATGTACTCCGCCAGTGCCCAGTCTACCGTCCGCCGCCTGGTCATGTCCTCTCGGCCCCGCAAGATTCGAGAGAGGCCTAAGGGAGGGAAGGGTCAGCCTGTGGGACCCGGGGCTTGGCCCCTGCCCACGGCAGCCGAGCTCGAGGGACCAGGGCCAGGTGTGGATGTACAGTATACACTTCTGCCTGAGCAGGGCCCTGGCCGGCACCCTCCTCCAGCACCGCCACCCCGCCGGTCCAACGGGCTGGCCTGAGCCCACAGCGCCCACTGGCCTCCGTCCCTGTGGGAAGGGGCAGGGCCAGTGGGCAAGCGCCGGCACTGTGCACACCCTGCGTGCAGAGTGGGGTACACTCCTGACCACCCCACGGGGCAGACTGTCCCAACTCCCCACACGAGGAGACAGACTCAGGAGGAGGAGTCCTTTGCTCACTATCACACGGCTGCAGCGGTGCCTGCACTGGGGCCCAGGCACCCGGGCCGGGCCGTGCACCCCTCGGCCCCACATCTGCACAGACCTGCCGTGCGTACGGAGCAGGCACTCAGGACACCTGGCCCCTGCACTGCGACTACCGCCGTGGGGACTTTCAGCTGCTCCAGCAGAGGCTGCGGCCAAGAGCCAGCGACACCCACGAGCCCAGGCTCACCCGGAGCCACTGGGTCACCTGTCATCCATCCCGCTGCCGGCAAGCCCAGCATCCTGCCCTCACATGGCAGGCCCACCACTCCGTCCACGGGAGCCTGCTTCCCTGCTCCCCGGCCTGACCCCGGGACGCAGTCCATCTGGTCTCCAGAGCCCAGCTGGGACGGTGGCGTCCACATCAGCCCACTGATGGGAGCTCCTATCAAGGGCACCGCACAGGGTGTAAACGAGGCACCAGGCGCTCAGCCGACCAGCGACAAAGTGGGACGCAGGCCAGGCTTCCCGGACCTGGTGCCACCGCCGCTGGGGCAGGATGTCGGGTCTGGGAGCCTGCACAGCGACCTCACCCGTGTGGATTTTAAAGTCCTCCAGGGGCACAGAGCTTGCCACATTGCCGATGTGGGTCAGCATGTCCTCGGGAATGCCCGTAGTTGGGCAGGTCATGCTCTTGGGCTCCCCGTCCACGTTGAAGAAGCCTGAGGAGAGAGTGTGTGGACTTCGCATGGTGGTGGGGCCTCAGATCCCCCGTCAGCCTGCTTCACAGCCCCCTCTTCCCGGACCCCAGCAGGCGCTTGGAGACTGAGCCCGTCTCAGGACGGCCACATCCGACAGCCACAGCCGCAGCGCCTACACCCACTTCACGCCTCCCAGGGCCCTTGCGAGAGCCACTCCGCCCAGTGTCTCAGCCGCTCTGCCCCAGGAGGTCCTGAGCGGCTGCCCACTCTCCGCCTCGGCGTCCACCAGCCCTGGCTCTGCCCTTTCTCCCCAGAGACCAGCTGGTCACAGGGGCTCAGGGCGAATCAGCCCCGCACGGCCCGGGGCCCAGGGCCCGAGCCCACGGCAGGAGAGCCCTCTCGGCCCGCGCTCACCAGGCCAGGGGGAGTCCAGCCAGTGCTTTATATGCAGGATCTTTTTGTCCTTGGACCTGCCGTACGCCTCCTCACAGATCCGGTCGTACTTGGCGATTTCTTCCTGAAAGCGCAGGGGGGTGTGGGTGGAGGCGGCCATGCTCTGAGCAGCCAGAAGCTGGGTCGACCTGCCCGGTGACTGGCCCCCCACCGCGCCCTAGAACTGTGTGCTGGCCTGCAGGGACCCGCGGCCAGAGACCAGTCGCAGGGTCAGGGGCTCCCGCTCAGCAAGGGACGGCGGGGAGCTCGGCAAAGATGTCGCCCTTGCTCTCAGAGCCCCTTCGAGGCGGCGGGACCAACATGTCCACAGACGCCCAAGGGGACAATCCCATCTCTGGGCCACCTCCAGCAGGAAGCCCCCCGGACTCCCGCCTGAGGCTGTGCTCCCCACTGCAGCGTTCGCTGCCTCCCACCAGGCCGGTTCTGTCCTGGCTGCTGGGGGCAGGGCCATGCTGGCTACTCCTTCAGTCACCAGTTCCCGTCACTGGGCTGGCAACATCAGCAACTGCCCGGCTCCGGGCTCCACGGAGTGATCCCAGCTGCTCACCAGGCCCGCCCACCGGCCCACACACCTCGAACTCCTGCAAGGTGACGGTGCCCTCGGCGATGAGCTTGTCCGCGTACTTCTTCAGCACGGGCACCTGCTTGTGGATCTGCTTGTACATGAGCGGCTGCGTGAACATGGGCTCGTCCATCTCGTTATGGCCGCGCCGGCGGTAACAGACCTGTAGGGGCAGCAGGGACAGGGGCTCAGTCCGTCCCCGGGCAACACAGGTGTGGTCACTGCACAACTGGGCACACACGCTTCAAAGCCCCTGAAAGCCCCCACTCCACCTCTCTGACTGTGCCACCCAGAAGCCTTTGCTCTTGGGAGCACCAAACCGCAGTCCACACCCACCAGGTCCACAACCACATCTTTGTTGAAGGTGTTCCTCCACTCGGCCGCCACACTGCACACATAGATCACGGCCTCCGGGTCATCTGCGTTCACGTGGAAGATGGGCGCGTTGACCACACGGGCCACATCAGTGGGGTACGGTGAGGAGCGGGCCATTCGGGGGTCCGTGGTGAAGCCAATCTGCAGAAGCAGGAGAAACCGGCAGTGCCTGTTACTTAGAGCTGGCCCTGTGGGTCGAGGAGGCTGGGAGGGCTTGGCTGGAGGCCTGTCAGGTGTGCCCAGGAGGCATGTGGGACATGAAGGGGTAACTGGTGAGCGGCCCCCAGTCAAACAGAGCAGCAGGTCCCACGGGGATGGCCGCTGTCTCTGCAGTCATTTTGCGAGGTGGTGAGAGCGCAGGCCTGGGTGAGCCCCAGCGCACAGGTCACCACCTGGATGATCTCGGGCGAGGCACTGAAGTTCTCACAGCTTCAGTTTCCTCATCTGTTAGAAGGTCTCACTGAGCTGCGACCTCCCAGGCCGGGCGGTGAAGACCAGATGACTCAGTGAAGTAAGGCAGCTCCCGGGCGCTGGGCTCCGGGGAGCTGCAGGGGGCGCCCGGAGCAAAGGCCCGAGAGCCGTTCTGACCACTGCGCACGTGGAGCTGAAGGCAGCCCGTCCGTGTCGGCCCCGCGCTGGCACCTCTGCGCTCCTGTCCTTACAACCTTCTCCACGGACGGAGGGAAGGACAGATCTCTTATGCCCCGGGAACGAGGCTGGGAAGAACAGGCACTTGCCCGAGGTCACACGCCGGGACGTGGCAAAGCAGGGGGATCAGAACCAGAACGTTCTCCCTCGTCTCTCAGTGCTGCCGGGCTTAGCAATGGGCGGCGCTGACATGGCCTGGCATGCGGCCAGACGCTCACCTGGTTGTTGACGACAACGTGCACGGTGCCGTTGGTGGTGTACGAGGGCAGGTCGCTCAGGTGGAAGGTCTCATAGACCACACCCTGGCCAGCGAAGGCAGCATCCCCGTGGACCAGAATGGACATGACCTACAGAGCGGAGCGTGAGCCAACCGGAGCCCCAGACCCGCCTGTGTCCTCCGCCCTCACCCGGGCACTGCGGAGACCAGGGCCCGGTGCGCTCACCTTCTTGCCCTGGCTGTCCCCACGGTAGAACTGCTCGGCCTTGGTCTTCCCCTGCACCACGGGGTCCACAGCCTCCAGGTGGGAGGGGTTGGCCACCAGTGACAGAGTGATGTTTCTGTTCGTGACCCGGTTGATCCGCTCATGGTACATGCCCAGGTGATACTTGACATCTCCGGAGCCCTGGGGTTGGGGTGGATGGAGATGAACACCTCAGACAGGGACACAGACGGGCAGACAAGTGCAAGCCAGAGTGTGGCTGAAACCATCCAGGACTCTGCTCCTGCAAAGGCTTGTGCTGCCCCTGACCCACGGCCCCCTCCCAGCACTCCAGGTGGGCCTGAGAAAGGCTGAGCGGCCAGGCCAGCCGCCGCCTCATCGGAGCCCTCTGCACTTCACACCGCCCTCTGGTCGTCGAGGACGAGGGTGGGACGGGGTGAGGCCAGCGGCTGTGGCAGCGGAGGCATGGAGGACGGCTCCAAGGTGTGGGACCTCTGGGCAAACACCAGAGCTGGGCCCTCCTAACTCCTTCCGCCACGCGATGAAGCCACGTATCAGAGGAAAATGGGATGTTCTATGATCTTGGAGCAGGGGAAGCCTTTCTAAACAATGGACAAGCCTCAGAAGCTATAAAAGACGAGACAGCTAAGATCTAATAAACATGTCATGTGGGAAGCAAATCCGTGGACAACATTAGGAGGAAAAAACTCAAGCTGAAAAAACATCCCTAAGACAAATGCAGGCAAAGGGCGAATTCCCTCAGTATGTAAAGCACCTCCTAGACATCAGGGAGATATAGCCCAAAACCCCATCGAAAGATGTCCAAAAGCCATGGAAAAGAATTTACAGAGAAAGAAATATAAAAACATGAGAAGATAATCAAATTCAGTGCAAGGAAATCTATTAAAATGCAATCATTTCTGTACCAATCACGCTGTCGTGGGTGGCCTCGCTAATGTCTGCAAACCCTCAGCTCCAGCCACAGCACCTCACGCCCCCGACACTGCACCCACACACCTGTGCAGACACCCATTCCACAGCCTCAGGCCACCAGCAGGGGCGGAGCCAGCCACGCTGACACCAGAGCTCAGGGCGCTCCTGGGCTACGAAAGTGACAACTAGTAACGACACGTTAAGTGAGTGAGCGAGGCTTGCACGAGCTGCCCCCGCCTTTCACAAAGGCTCCAGGACAAACAGGTGTGCTTGGACCTGCATGGACAGTTCTGGAAGAGCACAACTTAACCAACAGGCCAGAGGGCCTGGGAGCAGGAAGGGGCTCACCAGGGAAACACGCTCATTGTATGTTTGCTTGTTTTTAACAGCGCTCCTATTTTTTAGTTAAATGAAAAACTAGTGAATACATTCTGCAAGTGTCCTTTGTCTAGGGGCTACGCACATCATCTCCGCTTCCTCGGCCGCCCGGGCAGGTGCTGTTACGCCCACGGCACCGAAGAGCTCACTGAGCCGGAGGAAGGCGCCCGAGCCAAGCGGATGGGGCAGAGGGAGATTCCGGGCTGGGCCAGCCCTGGGGCCTCCTGTCCTGCTCTGGCCCAGCGTGCCGGGACCGCAGAGCAGTCATTTCCTGTGATTCATTAAAACAAGCCAAGCACCCGTGCTCCGTGCTGGGTGCTGGGTGCTAGGGCTTCGGGGATGGGTCCCTGCCCTCACGCACCCGACCAGCCTTGGTACACACACACACAAACACGCACACACGTGTGCGCACACACACACAGGCTGGAGAAGGCTAGAGCAGAGGTGGTCTGAGGGCAAAGGGCCCAGAGGAGGGAGTGACAGGCTCACCGCCGGGAGGGCCGGGAGCCACCGAAAGGAGGGAGGGCAGCGCTGGAGGCACGGAAAGAGGAGGGCCATCGGGACTGGGGCCCAGCATGCGTGGTGTGAGGCATGCGTGACGTGTATGTCAGGGAGTGTGAGCAGAAAAATGTTCCCCTCTGCTCATCAGTGGGCACAGGAAAGTGTGCTGATCCCCCAAGGCTGTCCTGGGCAAACAATGACTGGGGCCCTTCTGGGCTGGTGGACAGAACTCTGGGCAGAGGGACAGCCCAAGCCAAGGCGAACACCTTCAGGACTTCCCTGGACCTCTGGGCCCATAGCCCCAGCCCGAAACAGGGAGGCTGGCCCAGACCACGCAGGGGCTCCTGCCACTGTAGGAGACCACGGCACGTATTCTCCCACTCGTCTGCACGTCCGTCCACGTCAAGGTCTGTCCGAGCCCAGTTCCTCCCCGTCCACCGCCCAAACACCCAGCTCTCCCGGGGCTGAGACCTGGGCTTGGTACCCACCTCATCCGCGGCCTCCAGCTTGGGGTCAAACTGGCAGAAGATCTGCTCCAGGTCCTTGCGGATGACGTTCGCCAGCACGTTCAGCCTGCCCCTGGAGCGAGGGGGCGGGCTCTCACCTGGCACGGAGGCCAGCTCCCAGCAGCACGGGCGCCCTGCCACCCGGGGCCTATCAGACTGAGAACCCCTCCCCAGTGGGGCCAAGTGGGGCCAAGCCCCTCATCCTGTCAGCCTACAGGCCTGTGAGTGGTCCCGGCAGCCGGTTCCCCAGACACCCCTGTGCATCTCTGCCTCAGGAGCAGGGAGCCACCAGCCACAGGGCAGAGTACCCACCTCCTCACCCAAAAGCTGACCCAACCCAGTGCCTTTACCCTACTTTGCTAATGCATCACAGTGGCTGCCACACGACCCCCATCCTAGCCCAGCAGCACACTGGGGCAGGACAGGGAAGAAGGAACTGGACTGACCCTACGACCAGGAGTTAGCAGAGGGGCTGCGCAGAGGGGCTGAGGTCTGAGGGTGGGCAGTCAGGAAAGCAGCCAGGGATCAGGGATCCTCCAGTCCAGCCTGACCTTCCCATCAGGGGGCAGTTTATTCAGGGCACCAGCCAACGGAGGCACAGCCCAGAACTCAGAACTCGGTCCCCAAAGCCCACCAACAGATGCCAGCCCCAGGCTCACACACCCTGGTTCGACTTCCAGCCTCACAAGGCCGTGTGACGGGACAGGCCGCCCTCATGCAGGGGGCCTCTCTGCTGTCCTGTGGGGTCATGGGAGCTGTGGGGCCACAGGCAAAACCTCAAAGGGCCCTCAGCAACTCCGGTGGCTGGACCAGAACACCGCCCGGCTCCCAGAGCCCCCCCAGGCCGAGTCTGCCCAGCACACCACAGTCCCAGAGCTGATCTGACCATCAGTGCCCTCCTCTGCCACAGGCCCCCTGAAGGCACATGGGCCCATGCCACCTCAGACCGTGGGGCCTGCTCTGCCTGACCCTCTGCCCAGGCACTGGGCACGTCCCTCAGCACATGGAGCCTGTAGTGGGCAAATTCCCGGCTATTGGCAGCCAGCCCAAGGATGGGCCCCTCCACACTACATCTGGGTGCTGAACACCCCTCCTGCTGATGCGGTCTGGGGCTGGCCCAACCATGGAAACTGGAATGGGCACAGGAAACATGGGGCTTTGCCCCCGACTGTTCAGCACACCCCCTTGCAGCCCATTCAGCATGAACCCTGGCCACCTTTGTGCGTCCCCGGGCTGAAATCCTATCAGACCTCAGGCTCCAGCTCAGTAACTGCCTGACTGCCAGCCAGTCTTCCAAGTCTCTATCCAGGCCACAGGGAAACATGTAGTCAGCCTGCAGCCAGGGGAAGGGACCCCCAGAGACACTCCTCCAGGGGGTGCCAACCAGGGCCACCTGCTCAGGCTCTGCCCGCTCCCCTAGGACATGCCACCACATCTCCTGTCCACAGGAAACTCAAGAAGCACAATACAACCCTTTTCTGAAATCCTGACCCTCCTGGGAACAGTGGCCACATGGTCTGCTCAGTCCCGGGCTCCATGTGGTTCTGGCAAAGGGCGCGGCTCTTCTGTGATGAGCAAGCCAGGGCCCAGGGACCTGGAGAACTTTGTAGGCCACTCTGCCTCTCCCCGCCCGTCCCACGAGCACCCCTCTCTGGTGTTCAGCTCCCCTCCCCCTCAGTCTACGCCGGGGAGAAGGAGCAGGCTGTGGAGGGCAGTGGAGGGCCCACCTGTGTGGCATCCCCAGGATGACGTTCTCAATGCCCATCTCGCTGGATTTGTCGATGATGGTCTTGAGGGCAGGGATCATGACCTCACAGCCCTCCAGGCCGAACCGCTTCTCCGAGGACCACTTCCGGGCCAGGAAGTCTTCGAACCTGCTTGGAGAGACGGGGGCGAGGCTGAGGCGCAGGTGACGGGGGCTAGTCCTGATGGCTCAGAGCAGGTGCCCCGCACAGAGGAGTTTGCAGAATCACCTCCCTCCGCATCGTCCACAACCTGCCAGACACCGCGATGTCCCCACCAGCAAGGGGCGCAGGTCTGAGGGAGGCTAGGAGTCTTAACCAAAAATCTCTGCCTACACCCATTCCCAGCTACCACCCTGTCCCCATCCCAGTCACACTGCTCCGGGCCACGCCCCTGCCCTCAGCCGCTGCCCTCCTGCAGCAGAGGCACTGCCCAGGCTCCCACCCCCACGTCCACCCACACTGCTCAGGGCCACGCCCCTGCCCTCAGCCGCTGCCCTCCTGCAGCAGAGGCACTGCCCAGGCTCCCACCCCCACGTCCACCCACACTGCTCAGGGCCACGCCCCTGCCCTCAGCCGCTGCCCTCCTGCAGCAGAGGCACTGCCCAGGCTCCCACCCCCACGTCCACCCACACTGCTCGGGGGCGCTCCTCCGGGCTGCCGCAGTCCCAGGGAGGCCCTGCTGTGCTCACTCCACACAGGACATCTTTCAGCCCCAAAATTCCCACAGCCACCCTGTCACTTTTTCCTTGCTCAGTGTACCTCTGCTGCCACGCTCTCCTGGAGCCCCTCCCTGCCCACCTGCCCAACACCGCCTGTGCACCTGGCCCATGCTCCCAGGGGTGAGGCCCACCCAGTCCTGCCTTCCTTCCCTGCTTGTTTCCTAGCCAGGGCCTGGGGCGTCTCCGACAGCCCTGGAGCAGGTGCCCCCAGCCACTCGGGCCGTCCAGGCTGGTGCTGAGGGCCTGACCTCATGGAGCGCACCAGCCGGGCCAGCAGCGTCCGTTTCTCCTCGCTGGAGAACTGCATCACGCCAGGGGTCTCGAACTTCTGCCGAATCCACTGGCACTGCTCCACATCGTTGATGAACATGAACTCCAGACCAATGTGCTGGCAGTAGGTGCTCTGGGGGCAGCCAGGAAGAGACAGAGGCCCCAGACTCTAGAGCGGAGCAAGCAAGGCAGTACCTCCCCCCCAGGAGCTCCAGCAGCAGCCCCCTCCAGCAGCACCAGCAGCTCCCCCCTCCAGCAGCACTCCCCTCCAGCAGCATCCCCCCTCCAGCAGCACCCCCCCTCCAGCAGCACCCCCCCTCCAGCAGCACCCCCCCTCCAGCAGCACCCCCCCTCCAGCAGCACCCCCCCTCCAGCAGCAGTTCTAGCAGCTCCAGCAGTTCTAGCAGCTCCAGCAGGCGGCCCGACACACCTGCCTGCCCTCACCTCCAGGCGCCGAATGATTTCCCGCAGAGAGAGGGTCTGCTCAGAGCCTCCGATGAAGGTAGTTGTGGGCAACTGGAACTCCTTATCCAGGTCAGCCTCCCGCAGGTCATAGAAGGCTGAGGAGCCACATGGCAGAGCCCAGGAGGCAGAGGAGGACAGAGGGCTCTGGTCCAGGTGGGGCCCAGCAGTATCCCCAGACCTCCCAACAGCACCCCGTCACCCTCCCACCAGGTCCAGCCTAAGCTCAGGGAACCTCTGCAGGGAACACGAAATGAGAGTCCAGCCCAGCATGCAGCCTTGAGGGTGGGCCTGGACAAGCTCCCTGGACAAGCTTCTGAACATGGCACGCCAGCTAGGGAACGCAGGGAGACATCCCTCGCAGGGACACTGTGCCGTGGAGGGCAAGGGTCTTCCTGGGCTGCCTGGGGGGCCCTAGGACCCGTGCATAGGCCCCGACTGGCTCTGGTGTCACCAGGGTGACAGGGAAGGGTACCAACTCTCACCCAATTTATCGATGGTTGTGATTAAGTCTGAAGGTACAAAGGAGTCCAGATCTGCATCCAGAATGCCCAGGGGGTCCAGTTGGGCCACATGGTGGCCCCGAATCTGAGAGAAAGGAAAAAGGATAAGGCGGGGCTAGGATACAGCTGGAGAGACCCTCACCAAGAGCAAGGTTCTGGGACCCGGCCCCTCACTTCCCACTTCAGAATTTCCACGTCTCCAGCAGCCGACCGCTGCACAGGTCCCGAGAAGGCCCCGCCTTGGCCCCTGAGGGGCAGGAGCTCAGCTCTGCCTAAAGGCACAACGTGCAGCTTTCAGAACAGGACAGTGTGCAACCAGAGGCAGTCACTGCAGTTCTGCTCGAAGTCCAGCACCCCAGGAACTCCTCAGGCGTCCTCTAGCGGGACAGGCGCGGGGCCGGGAAGGCCCCACGGAGCAGTGCGGCGAGGCATGACGTGCCAGCCGCTGGGAGGTCATCTCCACGACAAGCCACAGGAAGTGTGTGCGGACCGTCCCTTGTCTGTGGAAGGGGAGCTACAGCAAGCACGAGCGTCTGGATATGGCAGTCTACATATAAACACATACATGCATCAGAAGAACAAACTGTAAAATAAGAAAACGACACAATATGGGAAAGTATTATCGATGGGGTAAGGCAGAGTGGCAGGACTAGAAGCTAGACTTCTAGGGATATCTTGCTTTGGAGATTTGATTTTGGAAGCTTGTAAATATTTTATGTCACTATGAAAAAAAATTAAGTGTTAAAGTGGAAAGTAAGACACATCAATGAATTAATGCATCCATTTGGTAGCATAACTCAGGGAGAGGAACTATCCCAACTGACTAATAGAATCTTCCCTAAAGACAAACAGAACTGCAAGGAAAGGTTCATAAATTCATTTCTACTATCAATCAGTAGTGGTGGTGTTAGAATTGTATTCTAAGACTGTTATGTGTGGGTTGTAAGAAAATCCAGTAAGTCACTATATCTGGGAGAACCTGTTTTTGACATCTTTAAAAAGAAATGGTGCCCTGGCCGGCATAGTTCAGTGGTTAGAGCGTTGGCCCACACACCAAAGGGTCACAGGTTCGATTCCTGATCAAAGGCATGCACCTGGGTTGCAGGTTTGATCCCCAACCCCAGGAGGCAACCAATCAATGTTCTGTCTCACACATTGATGTCTCTCTCTCTCTCTCCACACCCCCCTTTCTTCCACTTTCTCTAAAAATCAATGAAAAAAATATCCTTGGGTGAGGATTAAAATATATATATATATGAAAAGATATGGTGACATAAAATTAATGAGGTCAAGGATAAACCCTAAGTCCCACATTTGACACATATAGAAGCATCAGTATAAACCCATAAAGTATGTTTGTTATCTTTTAAAAAACAATACATACGTCCTGGCTACAACCACTGAGAGGGTCCAGAAGCCTCAACCAAAGCCCAGCAGTGAATTGCTAGCACTGCCTGCAGAGCCGGCTGGTCCCCGGGCTGAGCGAAATGCACCCATGCGCTCGGAGCACCTTATCATGACAGATAGGTTAGGGGTGCTCAAACACAGCGGGGCTGAGCGGAAGCACACATCTGAGCAATGATAAGGATAATATCTTAACAAATTGAAACTCATCAAATATGTTTAAATTCATGCATTCATATCACACTGAAGAAAAGATTAAAAACCTTCACTGGCATCTTTGAAGGATGGTAGGGAACCACCTCATAATTTTGAAAATTTATCAATAAAAAGAAAAGTCAAGCATTGATCCTGCCTTTCCTATACAATTTGTACCTCAGGAATAGATGGAGTTGACAAAGGGCTGTTTCTCTTGATAGAAATATTCCAGGTAATAAACAAAGAAAGACTGAATTGGCATATCACCATTTTTATCCCCCTAACAAATTACTGTATCCAGGAAGTAATCATCCAGAGTTGCTAACTGATGAAGTACCATCTACACTGAATAAAGCTTCTAGATCTAACTACCAATTTACAATTACATGGGACAAAGGGACAGATGGAGTGACAGCATGGGGATGCAATCAGCAAAATCCAGACAAAGGAAAATACTACAGGACAAACAACATGGTTTCTTAAAAAAAAAAAAAAAAAAAAAAGTCAGGGAACACAAAGAAATAGAGAGGAACCCAGAGTATAAGAGACTTAAGGGCCATATCAACTTATCACAACCTGTGGCTTTATTTGGATTCTGATCCAAACAAGTAGTAAAAAGAAATCATAAGCCAAAGACGCAAACATCAATACCAACTGATTATTTAATGACATGAAAAATTACTGTTATTCTTTTTAAGTGTGATAATGCTACCATGGTATATTTTCTAAAGAGCTTTTATCTCTAAAAACATATGTTGAAATGCTCAATTAAAGAAATATGATGTCTGTCCAGCCGGTGTGGCTTAGTGGATTGAGCACTGACCCATGCACTAAGATGTCACCGGTTTGATTCCTGGTCAGGACACATAGCATTGCAGGAAATGTTAAATGGAGTGCTTTAAGAAGAAGAAATCAAGAGAGAGAGGAACATAGTTATAAAGAAAAAAATGACAGTAAATAAGTACCTATCAATAACCTGAAATGTAAATGAGCTAAATGCTCTAATCAAAAGGCATAGAGTTTTGAATGGATAATAATATATGACCCATATATATGCTGTCTACAAGAGACCCACCTCACAACAAAAGCACACAGACTGAAAGTGAAGGGATGGAAAAAAAATATTTCATGCAAATGGATCTGAAAAAAAGGATGAGGTAGCAATACTCATATCTGACAAAATAGACTTCAAAATAAAGGCCATAACAAGAGACAAAGAGGGGCATTCCATAATACTAAAAGGATCAGTCCAACAAGAGGATATAACTCCTGTTAACATATATGCACCCAATACAAGAGCACCTAAGTATATAAAAAAATTCTTGATGGACTTTAAGGGAGAGATCGATAGCAATACAGTCATAGTAAGGGACCTTATCACCCTATTGACATCACTGGATAAATCTTCTAGACAAAAAGTTAACAAAGAAACAGAGGTCCTAAACAATGCACTAGATCACACAGATTTAACTGATATTTATAGAACATTTCACCCTAATATGCAGAATATACATTCTTTTCAAGTGCACATGGGACATTCTTAAAGATAGACCACATGTTAGGACACAAACTAAGTCTCTACAAGTTTAAGAAAACTGAAATCATATCAAGCATCTTCTCGGATCACAATGGCATGAAACTAGAAATCAATTACTATAAAAACACACAAAAACATTCAGACATGTGAAAGCTAAATAGCATGTTACTAATGAATGGGTTACAAATGAGATCAAGGAAGAAATAAAAAACTTCCTAGAAACTAATGAAAATGAACACATAACATAATCTATGACACAGCAAAAGCAGTCCTGAGAGTGAAGTTCATAGCATTACAGGCCTACTTCAAGAAACAAGAAAAAATTCTAATAAACTATCTAACTCTACAACTTAATTAGAGAACAAAAAGAAAAACCCAAAGTAAGTAGTGGAAGGAAATAATAAAGACCAGAGTGGAGATAAATGGCCTAGAGACTAAAAAAAAAAATACAAAAGATTAATGAAACTAAGTACTGGTTCTTTGAAAAGATAAACAAAATTGATCAACCTTTAGCCAGAAACAAAGAGGGAGGACCCAAATAAATAAAATCAGAAACAAAAAAGGTGAAGTAATAACTGAGACCACAGAAATACAAAGGATTGTAAGAAAATACTATGAACAATTATATGCCAACAAATTGAACAACCTAGGTGAAATAGACAAATTCCTAAAATCATAGTCTTCCAAAACTCAACCAGAAAGAATCAGAAAACCTGAACAGACCAATAACAACTAAGGAAACTGAAGCAGTAATTAATAAACTTCCATCAAACAAAAGCCCTGGTCTGGACAGCTTCACAGGGGAGTTTTACCAAACATTCAAAGAAGAACTAACACCTATTCTCCTCAAACTATTCCAAAAAATTCAGGAGTAAGGAAGAATTCCATGAGGCCAGCATAATCCTAATTCCCAAACCAGATAAATACACTACAAAGAAAAAAATTATAAGCCAGTATCCCTGATGAACATAGATGCCAAAATCCTCAAAAAATTATTAGCAAATTAGTCCCTGGCTGGTTTGGCTCACCCTCAAACTGAAGGGTTATCAGGTATAAGTTCAAGCCCAGCACTGGTCGGAGTAGTGAGGGAAGCAACCAATTGATGTGTCTCTCCACACATTGATATTTCTCTCTCTCTCTCTCTCTCTCTCTCTCTCTCTCTTCCCTGCTTCCTCCCACTCTATCTAAAAATCAATGGTAAAATATCCTCAGGTAAGGATTAACCAAAATATATATATATATATATTAGCAAACTGAATCCAGCAATATATTTTAAAAAATCATTCACCACAACTCAGTGGTATTTATGCCAGGGATGCAAGGCTGACACAATATTCACACGTCAATAAATGTGATATATAACATAAACAAAATGAAAGATAAAAATCATATGCTCATTATCAGTAGATGCTGAAAAAGCATTTGACAGCACCCATTTTTGATAAAAACTCTCAGCAAAATGGGAATAGAAGAATCATACTTCAACATAATAAAGGCCTAACTGACAAACCTACAGCCAACAGCATACTCAATGGGCAAAAACTAAAAGCATTTCCCTTAAGAACAGGAACAAGACAGGAATGTCCATTCTCGCCACTCCTATTCAACGTAGTACTGGAAGTCTTAGCCACAGTGATCAGACAAGAAAAAAAAAAAAAAAAAAATCAAAGGTATCCAAATTGGAAAGGACAAAGTGAAACTGGCTTTATTTGCAGATGACATAATATTGTACATAAAAAAACCCTAAAGACTCCACTAAAAAACTACTAGTTTTAATAAATGAATTTGGCAAAGTAGCAGGATACAAAATCAACATCCAATTTTTATACACCAATAATGAACACTCAGAAAGAGAAACTTAAAAACAATTCCATTTACCATTGCAACAAAAAATTTAGATATTTAAGAATAAACTTAACTAAGGAGGTAAAAGATCTGTTCTCAGAAAGCTATAGGACATTGAATGAAGATATTAAAAAAGCGGAAGCATATACCATACTCATGGATTGGAAGAATCAACATCATTAAAATGTCCATACTACCCAAAGCAATCCATAGATTCAATGTAATCCCTAATGAAATACCAATAGTATATTTCACAGTTCTAGAAAAATACTCCAAAAGTTTATATGAAACCCAAAAGGTCCCCAAACAGCCATAGCAACCTTGAAAAGAAAGTTGCTATGGATCACAGTGCCAGATATCAGGTTATATTACAAAGCCATCATAATCAAAACGGCCTGGTACTGGCATAAGAACAAGTATATATATATATCAGTGGACCAGAACAGAGAACCCAGAAATCAACCCAAGATACTATGCTCAATTAATATTTGACAAAGGAGGTAAGACCATACAATGGAGTAAAGACAGCCTCTTTAATAAATGGTGTTGGGAAAATTGGACAGCTACATGCAAAATAAATGAAATTAGACCAACTTACACCATACAGAAGAATAAACTCAAAATGGTAAAAGACTTAAATGTAACTCGTGAAACCATAAAAATCCTAGAAGAAAATGTAGGCAGCAAAATCTCAGCACACGTAACAGAATTTTCACTGATACATCACCTAGGGAAAGAGAAATAAAGAAAAAAATTAATACACGGGACTACATCCAACTAAAAAGCTTCTGCATAGCCAAAGAAACCAGAATCAAAATGAAAAGGGAACTCACTGGATAGCAGAATGTATTTGCCAATGGTACATCAGATAAGGGCTTAATTTGCTAAGCATATAGAGTACTCATACAACTCAACAAAAAAAGAAACAATTCAATTAAAAAATGGGCAGACACCTGAATAGACAGTTCTCCAAGGACCTGGAAAGTATTATGCTAAACTAAACAAGCCAAGCAGAGAAAGACAAATATCACATGATCTCAGTTATTTGTGGAATATAATAAAATAAACAAACTGCTGAACAAAATTAACCCAGAGACATAGAGGTGGGGTACAGACTGACAAGCCTCAGGGGAGGGGGTGTAGGGGGACAAGAGATAAACCACAGAACTTACATGCATGACCAATGAACATAGACAACAAAGCTGGGGATGGGGTGGGGGGGAGGGGAGAAGGGTGTAAATGGGGGAAAAATGAGAAACATCTGCAACAAAAACAAATTAATAAAAAATAAATTAATTAATTAAACAAACAAACAAATAGCCAAAAGACATACAAAAAAATGCTCAATGTCACTAATCATTAGAGAGATGCAAATTAAAACGACTGTGAGGTATCACTTCACATCTGCCAGAATGGCCGCCATCAACAAATCATCAAACAATAAGTGTTGGCGAGGGTGTGGAGAAAAGGGGACTCCAGCATTCTGCTGGTGGGAATGCAGACTGGTGCAGCCACTATGGGAAACAAGATAGTGTTTCCTCAAAAAATTGAAAATGGAACTTCCATTGACCCACTTGGTCCCACTTCTAGGAATATATCCTAAGAATCCTAAAACACCAATCAGAAAAAATATACGCACCTCTATGTTCATAGAAGCACTATTTACAATAGCTAAGATCTGGAAACAGCCCAAGTGTCCATCAAAAGATGAGTGGATAAAAAGGCTGTGGTACATTTAAACAATGGAATACTATGCAGCTATAATAAAGAAAGCTCTCTTATCCTTTGAGACAACATGGAGGGACCTGGAGAGTATTATACTAAGTGAAATAAGCCAGTCAGAGAAAGGCAAGTACCACATGGTCTCAGTTATTTGTGGAATATAACAAACAAAATAAGCTGACTAACAAAACAGATCTAGAGACATGGAAGCAGGGAACAGAATGACAAAGCTCATTGGGAAGAGGAAAGGCGGGAAGAGATAAACCAAAGAACTTATGTGCCTATATGCATAACCTATGGTCACAGACTACAGTTGTGGTGAAGGCAGGGAGGGGGTGGGGGATGGAGTGGGGAGGAGGGTTTCAATGGGGAAAAAAAGAGGGACATCTATAATACTATGAACAATAAAGATTTTTTTTAAAAGCAAACTTTAGCCCTGGTTGGTTTGGGTCAGTGGTTAAAGCATCAGCCCACTGACCCAAGAGTCGTGGGTTTGATTCTGGTTAAGGGCACATACCTCCATTGTGGTTCGATCTCCAGCCTGGGTCAGGGTTGGGCAGGAGGCAACCAATTGATGTGTCTCTCTCACATAGGTGTTTCTCTCTCTCTGTCCCTCCCTTCTATCCTATCAAAAAATCAATAGAAAAATATCCTTGGGTGAGGATATTTTTAAAAAGCAAACTTTATGCCCTGGCTGGTTTGGCTCAGCGGTTAGAGCATCGGTCTGCAGTCCAGAGAGACCCAAGTTCAGTTCCCGCTAAGGGTGCGTACCTCCCGCTAAGGGTGCGGTTGCAGTTTGTCCCCGGCCCTGGTTGGTCATGCGGGTGGCAGCCACTCGATGTGTCCCTTTCACATCGATGTTTCTTTCTCTCTCTCCCCCCCCCCCCTCTACCTCCTACTCTACCTGAACCAAAAATGGAAAAATGTCCTCGGGTGAGGATTAAAAAAAAAATAAAGCAAACTTTATAAAACTTTAACAAAAAAGAAAAGACATATATTTGCCATATAAAATTTAAAACTGCCGTATAACAGAAGGTACTACAAAATATAAGAGCCTTTTTACTGGAGAAAAATATTTGTAATTCATATGTCCAAAGAAGGATTTATACCCAGAATCCACAAAGAATCCCTAAGATCTGTAAGAAAAGATAAACAACCTAATAGGGGGAGGGGGGAAATAAACAAGCCATGTAAGCGTTCAAATGGCTAAAGGACATAAAAAGTTGCTCAACTTTATTGTAATTTAGGGAATACAACAAACATGAGATACCATTTCATATCCATAGACTGATAAAAACTTGAAATCAGACCATCAGTTTGGAGAACGGGAGCAGAACTAACTCCCTTGCAGCGCAGAAGGGGCAGAAAGTGGTAAGCCGCTGCTGAGCGGCGCTGTCACCTGGGGGAAGGCGCTGGGCCCTGTGACCCGGCAGTTCCACACAGGTGGATACCCTAGAGAAAGCCTCACCTGTGCACAGGAGAGGTGCACAAGAATGCCCGTTACAGCTTGTTTGTAACAGTGAAAAACTGGAAAGAGCCTAAATATGTATCAAGAGGATGGGTAAACAAATTTGATATATGCACATAGTGAATTATATCCAGTTGTTAAAAATGATCTAGAAGACAAGTATCAATATGGGTCCAATTTTGAAAACATAAGTTTGAATTTAAATAAAATCTCAATGGAAAAAAAAGAAAGATGATGTCTGGGATTTGCTTCAAAATAACCAGTGGCCTGTGCATGGAGCCAGAGGTGGGTGATGGATGAATTAAGACTGGCCTTGTGTTGTGTGGGGTTCAGTACACAATTCTTCTACCTTTTAAGTTTGAAAATGTCCATAATAAGTTCGGTGTGTGTGCAGATCAGTCAAATCTGAATTCTGCCTCCTACTTGCTGGGAGGGGCTGCAGCCCCCACCCACCCCGGTGCTCACCGTCAGGCACAGCCTCGGGCAGACACAGCAGCTGCCCGGATGGAGACTGGCCTGCAAGACCCCGGAGCCTCGTCTTGGCTGAAGAACACGAGCTGGAAACTGTGCAGAAGATGAGGCCCTTCGGCAGTACTCTCAATGTTGTATATGACGTAGTTTCATGTTCCTTGCTCTTTGTTTTCAAAATCAATGGTTAAGACCATTTTCTGCTTCTTTCATCCAGTCAAGAGAAACACAATTACAGTGCTGCTGTTTGCTCCCAGCTGTCCCACTATCCCTGAGTCCTCAGGCCAGAGAGCGAACCCAGTCCTACTCCCCATCCCCCTTCCGAGCACAGGGCTTGCAGCCTCCTCCAAGCCCGGGCCCCTTCCCACCTGCTAAGGCCTCCCACCCCCACTCCATCTGCCTCCCACCCCCACTCCGGAGCAGCTGGCTGCTCCCTCCCCTGAGTATCTGCCAAGGGCCCCACGATGCCCTTGCCCTTCCTCCTGCAAGCCTGTAAGACAACTTTCTTATCAAATACCGTCTGCCACTCATCCCCAGAGAGACCCCAGATACTATCACTAGTTTTGGATGACCACCCAGGGCAGCTCTCCAATCAGTCCTGTTCAGCCAAGACCAAGACTATGGACCGCCATCGGGGCTCTCTGGCAGGGCAGGGCCCGACCTGGGAACCCACCAGGGAGAGCGTAAGTCTCCAGAGCAGAGCAGCTGGTAAAGGGAGAACTGTTTGCTGACCTTTCACTCACCCCATAAACACCAAGCGCCTGCTTCACCCCAGGCCCTGCACTCTTGGAAGGCCCAGTCAAGAGAAAAAAACAGGTATTAACAAGGGCCAATCAACTCAACTTTCATTCAACATTTACTGAAACGGCTTTTGTACTAAGTTCCCCTCTGCATACTTGGGGCACAGTGGTGTGCGAGACAGGTAACATGCCATCAGAAAGGCCACAAACAAATCAGTAGCACAGAAAAGGCCAGGTGCTGGTAAGTGACGCGGTAATGTGACAAAGTCGCAGGAGTGAGAGCCACCTGAGAAAGGTCCTCTGAAGAGATGACATCGGAGCTGAGCAAGTCCCTGGCCACACCCCCCAGCCAGTCAGCCTCCCAGCCTGTGCCCGCCCAGCCGCTCACCTGGTAGGCGCGAATCAGGGACTGCACCGCCAGGTGGTCCTCCACCAGCTTGCTGGTCTTGGTCCGGCTGGAGACGCAAGGCCTGCTCTCAGGGCCAACAGACGGGGACTGTGGCTGAGGCGAGCCACAGGCTTCCTCACTGGCTTTCCGGAAGAAGCTGTCCCAAGACTGGGCAGGGGGAGAAGCAAGGAAACAGCCAAGTCAGGGCCTGGGAGGAGGGGGTGGCCCTGTTTTGGGCTCTGGGCGATGTCAGGTATTCCTTCACCACAGCTCTGAGCCTTCCCAGGGCCATGCCAAGAAGACCCCTCAAACCAGTCCAGACCCCCCACCCAGAGCCAAGATCTCTTCGAGACCCAGGGGGGTGGGGGCTGTAACTTGTGACCCAAGTGTGAGAGGGGCTTGGACCCCCAGGGGAATCATGCTGTCACACACAGTGGGCTGGAAGCGGCCTTTGTGGAGGGGAACCGGGCAGGCAGGCCCTCAAATGTTCAATGCATCTACCTTTCGAATTAGCAAGTCACTGCTCTGAACTTATTCTACAGATGCACTTGCCCAGGTGTGCCTAGATGCAGGGCTGTTTATAAAAATGGCAACATAAAAACAATGTAAGCAGTGATCAACAGGAAACTGGTTAAATAAATAATGATACACTTAGATTCTGGTGGATTACGTAGTCTTCACGAAAAGTAAGACTTGCTGTCGTAAACAAAGCAGCTCTGCAGCCTTTCCCACCTTGCGGCACACGTGGACAAGGCTTCCACTTAGGGGTGAGGAAGGACCCAAGACAGAGACCCGCCCAGGAGCACTCAGCTAGCCCGCTGCTCCTCCCCACTCCCGCTCTGGCCCCGGAGCTTCCCTCCCACGGTGGGCAGGGTGGGGTTGCCAACCTTGTGGACACTCTGGGGGTTTTCCAACCAGGCAAAGTACATCTCCTCCAGGTAACTGGAGCTGCCTCCACCTTTACTGCTCGGGAAGGTGGCCCGTGGCCCGGACGACCTGCTGCACCAGCTAAACATCTGGACGTCATGTGGGGCCAGAAGCCTCGAGGCCTGTGCCCCCAGCCGGGATGTCAGCAACCTCAGCTGACTCATTCTGCACACAGGCAAAGAGGGAGAGGCATAAACCACCGGACCAGGACAAAAGGAGGCTCTGGCGGCCACTCATCAGGCATTTGTTGGTCCTACTAGGCAGGTGGCTCTGGGCTAGGCAGTGACAATATAGAGGAGAAGGAAGGAGTCTGCCAGCCCTCCTGGATTCACTGCCTAGTGGGAGATCTCAGCACAACAAATTCCGCCAACAGCTTTCAGCACCCCTGAGCCCCAGGTGTGCCCCACCCATCCCACCCGTGTTCCCTCCCTGCCAACCCTCAGAACCTGGTGCAAAGACAAGTATGACCCAGGCCCTGCCTCAGGGAGCACCCAGCCCAGGCCCTGGAGCCCATCAGAGTCGTGGCGAATGTGCATGCACAACCCCCAGTAAAGAGTAGGACACTCAGCTGGCCACCCTGGAACTTAGACAGGGAGTCCTCCAGGGGCTGGGTGTGCCATACCTGGCCAGTAAAAAGGCAGGGAAAAAGGGGTCTGGCTGGGCTGCACTATTTCAGGAGGCCCATGCACAGCTGGGTCTCTGGTCATTATAACCAAAAGTGACCAGTAACTTCCTCTAACTGCAGTTCTGACCCAGAGCACCAAACCCAGGCCGAAAGGCCAATGACATGGCCTGAACTGCTCCTCTTCACAGGAAGAGGACTGAGGCTCGGAGAAGGGAAGGGCTCCAGGGACCAGGGCAGGGTAGACCAGAAGGCAGGCGCACGCCCATCTCAGCTGCAGCTGCTCTGGCTCTCGTACCCTCCCAGACCTTACACTCACATCAGTATCACTCAAAGGAGCTAACAGCTCAGGGGTGCACAGGCTGGAAGCGCACCCAGGATGGAGAGAACGAGAGCCTGGAGCTCATCTCACCCCATTACGTCACCTGTCCTTTCCCAGGGAAAATCCTAACAGTGGGGAGCTTCTTCCACCCTCCGGAGGACAGGAGCTCCAGGAGCCTCCTCCAATCCCTAAGAGCCCCCAGGGACCCCTACCGAGCAAGCTGGAGGTTGACAGCCCACTGAGGCTCCTGCTGCCCCAGACCTTGCCATCTCCTCCTACACTGGACTTCTGTTCCCCCACCCCCACAACTGTGAGCAGAGCCCCTTCCTCTGCCCCAGCCCAGCACTGCCTGGACATAGAACAGCACCCCCTGAATACTGTTAATACTCTTCTGCCTAGAAAATCCCAGCCTGCGAGCAGGGCCCAGCACCAGAGCCACCCCACCAGAGACAGCACAAGCAGGAGGAGCCTGGTTCCCTCTGTACCCCCCAGTCCCAGAAAATGTGCCTCTGGGGCATAGCCGGTTCCCAATAGGCCAATGGGCCTTCAGCCTGGTATGTTCAACCAACAGGGCCCCTTCTCCTACTGCATCAGCTCAACCAAGTCACCAGAACAATCTGGCTGGGCCTTCTACAAACGGTCAGGCCCCGAGGCAGGACAGGGTACAGCCCTCCCAGCCTGCCATCTCCGTCTCTCCCTCCAAACTCACATGAGCCAAAGAGAAGGGGAGATGATCTCCTCAAGCAAGGGGAAATGGGCTCCTCGGGAAACCAGTAGTAAGTCTAAAGAGAAGAAAATTACAAAGAAAAAATATATTCCAGAACAGGAAGGAGGTGGGAATCAGCTGGAACCTGAGTGCCAAGTGCCCCAAACTGCCTTCCCATGTGCTCAGCCCCTAAAGCTTCGGACCACATGCCCAGCCCCACCAGCCAGTGATGCCAGGCCCCACAGCGAGGGCCAGTAGGGGCTAGCTCTCCCTGGAGCAGCACCTCTCCAACTGTAGGGTCGGGATCAAGGCATGGAGTCCCAACCGCTGCTCTACTTGTGACTGGCCCTGAGGTCTGAGCAAATGCAGGGCTGCCCTGGCCCAGGAGCCACTGGCCTGGGATATCAGAAGAATCCAAACAACCCACAAAGCTCTACCATCTGAAACCAACAACAAGACCACCCATCATAGGAATAAAAATAAGAGCACACAGTGAGCACTGATTTGGGGGAAGGTCCAGTGCTCATTTAACTCAACAACCTCGTGAGGTGGGCACTAGGATCAGCCCCACTTGCAAACAGGGAAACTGAGGCACAGAAAGGCTAATCTGGCGAGTGATAGGGCTCTGTGTGGTTCCAGACCTGCGCCCTTCCTCACTGTGGAGTCAAGATATAAACCCAGATTTCGTTTCGACCATGCATTTTCCAAAGGGTGCAGCCAGGGGTGCTCTCTGCCAGCCCTGGCCCCTACTTCCTCAGAGGAATGGGACAACTCAAGGGGACAGTGACAAAGCCTGGCTGTACCCAGCCTGGTTTGGTGCAGGAACACTGTGTTTTATAAACAAGGAACTCTCTGGACCATCTACTGGACACTGCTGTGGCCTTCACCCGGCCTGGCAGGAAGACAGCCAGCCAGCCAGCCACCCTGCCCCCTTGCAGCAGGGCTGGAGACAAAGCCAACCTCAGTGACTGGAGCCAGCACCCTGCCCGCCCTGCCAGGTCCTACCTCCATAGGCCAAGGCAGTAGCAAAGTCCGCTGGGCACCCTCCACATCCCCTGCAGCCCAGCTCCCAGGCACTACCAGGCAGGTTGCTCTGGGCCACTCGGGGGTGGGGATGGGGTCTCCAAGAAGAGATCATACCATCCCCAGAACAATCACTCATCCTCCCACACACAAGGCCCGTCTGCACTGTCCTGGTGAGGACTGCTCTGCCATTGCCCCACACAGAAATCAGTTAACAGAGATCCCAAGAGGGGCAGGGCCCTCCCCAAGGCACTGAAGATGGGCAGCAGAGCCTGGACTCACATTCTGAGAACTGGGTGGGCTTTTCTCAGGAATAAACCCCAACTCTAGTTTGCTGAACCCAAGAGAAGGCCCCGGAGGCAGATGCCAAGTGCAAAGGGGGGTGTACTTATTTTCTTTGCAGGGATTAAGGGCCCGCGCTAAAGTTCTAAGGTGGGCAAAGTGCAAAAGTAGATGGGGCCTGTGCCAATAAGCTAGGGCCTGTGCAGGGAGGAGCTGCAGAGCGGTCCACGGTGGAGGGGTGTCAGAATGGGACCCCTGGGGTCGGGTTAATTGTCATTGCACCCTGCTGGGACCTCTGAGTAAACCCATCCCTCCTCTTCCCCTATCCCTGGGAGTAGTTGAATCAGTTCTCAGTCTTTTCTCTCTGTTTCCCCATCTGTGAATGGAGACAATGGTTAAAACCATCTGTAAGGCCTCTGCCCCGCGAGGTCCTGAGATTTGAAGCCGCCTGCGGGCCCCTCCCCATCTTTTGTGGCTCTCCGCCGTTCCTGCCCCTTGAAGGGACTAAGAGTGGCAGGCCCCGCACCAGACCGCAAAAGGCAGCGTGGACAGCCTGCTGGAGAACCCTGGCTGCTGCTGAACCCCTTCCTAAGCGTCACTCCTTTCCGCAAAGCACGCCTGCAGGCCCGAGCTGAGCGAAGGCTGGGGGTCCTGGAGGAGGCCCGATCCGCCAAGGCCGGAGCCAAGGTCACACTCGCTCCGCGTCCCGGTTCCCCGCGGGGCCCTGTAAGGCTGCGGGCAGCAGCTCCCCAGGACCCGGGGACCGGGAGCAGAAGGCTCCCAAGGCGCGGGAGAAGAAGGGGCGAAAGGGCCCGGGGGAGGGGCGGCCGCGCTCACCCGGCCGGGGGGTTCCCGGGCAGAGTGGTCCGGAGGCTGCAGGGCTAGAGGGCGAGCGCAGGTGCGCGGCGCTCAGCCGGTTACCTGGGTCACGTGACTTGGCGCCGGCGGTCCCGAGACTGCCGCGTGACGTCTCTAAGGACACCACGCCCCTGCCGGGCCTGCGGCGCTGTCCGTGGTGCTGACGGCCCAGGCCCCAGGCCTCCCGGGCAGGAGCGCAGAGGACCCTGCAGACCGCAGGGCCGGCCATCCCCTCGGGCCGACCGACTGCTGAGCCCGGGGCCCCAGGCCCTGTCCGAACACTCAGGAGGGTGTCCCAGAAAATAGGCAGCCGTTTGTGTGGACGGGAGAATAGTTTCCGTTTTGTTGTCTGTAAAACGGAATGCTATTAAAAGTCCCACTATCTTGAAGAAAAGATGAGATAATGCATATAAAGTGGGGATATCACAAAGCCTAAAACACATTTTATTCATTTATTGTCCCAGTTATGGAAACATAGGCGGCTTTCACTTCCCTGTGGCTACAAACAATGTTACAATGAACACATTTCTGTACATTTCCTCCCTGTACCTGTGCAGAAATGTCTCTGGAATATATAACTAGGAGCTGAATTGCTACGTCATGGGTAAGTGTATACAGTATTGGACTAATGGGTGTAACATTGCTGCCTGGTTCTACATTTTCAGAAACTTGCAAGAGGATGTTCAAGTCCTTATAACTCAGCTAACAGTTGACAGTGTCCAGCTTTCTAATATTTGCCAGAATAACAGGTGCAATGTCATATTATTGTTTTAATACATTTCTCTGATTATCAATGATTTACACCTCATGCTCTTTTTAATTTGGGGCTTTTTCTGTTGTATTTCTCTTGGATTTTTGTTCTCATTTATATACAGGAGTTCTTCATGTAGGAACATATAGGAACATACATCTGTGGTTCAAATCACAGACCACCCTCTGACTGGCCTCCTTGTTCCACACTTGCATCCCTGAATTTTAGTCTCAACACAGCAGGCAAACTTTTCCCTGTAAAACACTGATTCAAATCATGTTGCCCCTCTGCTCAAAACCCTCAAATGCCTTCTCATTACCCAAAATAAAAGCCAAAATTTTTACATTTGCTTCTAAGACCCTTTATCTCATCTCAAATACTTCAGGCATGCAACCATGCTTAATGAAGAAAATTAGGAAAGCAAAAGAAACATGCAATGTCATACTCTTCATGTTAATTAAAAGTACATGCTTACAAAACAATATACATTCCACAAGAAAATATTCAAATAATATCAAGCACATTAATATTGTTGCCTGTGGCAGGAAAAGATTGGGGGATGTAGAGGTAATTAATTGATTGCCCATACCAATACTGATAGGGTGCCATGAACAGAGGAATATGATTAACTCTACCCCCTGCACCTAAAGTCTCCACCCAAAAGTTGTTTATTTTGAGACATTTTAAAGTCCATATGGCAAGAACCATACTTGTTTAATTTACAATTATATCCCCAGCATTTCTCATAGTATGTTTTCAGTAAATATTTGTTGAATAAATAATTGAATGAGTAAAGGGACACTTAACTTGGATCCCAGAGGATAAATATAAATGAGTTTGTCTGATGCAGAAAGATAGGGTTCATTGGGAGTTCTTTGATTAAAAGCACAAGAAAATTTTCTGGCTAGCTCAAGCAAAAACGTTCATAGGAAGGTTATCTATAGCACAACTTACAGAATCAGAGGAAAACTGAAGAATTACTCTCAAGAAGCAGGGCTGCACCAGAAATGGACTGTCTCTTCAAGGCTTTTATGATATTCAAAATTGAAATTCCAGAGAAAAAGAAGCTAAATGATCTGGCTTGGCCTGAAGTGGGGGAGAAGGAGCCTGGAGTCACCCATCTGAAACACATGGATTGAGTAGCAAGGCAGATGGTTCAAGGATGCTGGTACCACAAGAAATAGGAGTGAATACTGGGGTGGAAAAATAACACATGTGCACTGAATACCTCCAGTAGAAAAGCACCATATGCAAAGGCAGAGTTGTATGAAGGCCTAGGGGAATGGAAACTGCCTGGATATGTACAAGGGACTGGTGACCTCATCCAGGTGGGACCCAGTTTTTTATACCATGTCAAGAAGTTTGAACTCTATTCAGTAGGCATGGGACACCAGCAAATTTTAATTGCTGAAGAAAATGATCAGGCCTGCTGTTCAGAAACTTTCTCTGGTAACTGGAGGGAAGACAGAGTGGTAAAAGGTGAGAGCGAAAATATATCCAGACAACAGGTATACACTGGCAGTAGAGATAGAGAAAGACAGACAGATTTGAGAGACATTTAGGAATTAACTCTTCAGGGTTTAGTGGTGAACCAAGCAGGGTGGTGGGGCAATGATAACTCACAGATTTCTGGTTTTAGTGACTTTGGGGGATGGTGGAACCACTCAGGGAGCTGGGGGAAAGGAGGAGATGCAGGTTAGGAAAAAGGACAAGAAAGCTTACTAGTTGGAACCCCTAATGAGCCACTTAAGAAAGATTAAGAGTGAGACATGGGCAGCAGGCAGAAGCAAAGCCCTAGGAAATCAAAAGGTTCCAGAGACTCCCATTTGCTCAAGTGGTGTTCAGAGTCATGGAGAAAACACAGGGCTGTGGAGGGAGAGAGCCACACCCAGTGAAGGGAAGCTGAGTCACTGAAGGGGCTGGGTAGGGTAGCCAAGGATAGAGCCACTGCTGTGGGGACCTGCAGGGCTGTCAGGCCTTCCAGCCTAATTGATGCTCTGCTGATTACACTGATTAAAGCAAACATTTGGGGCAATCAAGGCTCCCAGGTGGATGGCTGCAATTCTCAGAAGACTAAAAAGGTAAGACAGTGACTGTGAAGATTTGCAAATGATCTTCAGAAGTAGACACCTTTCTTTTCTTCCATGTGTTTGTCAGATCACACAAATTTATATTTATTATGGATGTACAGAATTTAAAATACACAGGATACAAAGCAAAAGGTGAACAATTTCCCTCCATCTCCTGAATGTCACCTTTGACCCCCTCTAGAGATAACTATTGGCCACTTTGGTGAACATGTTCACAAATCTGTCTTTGCATTTACCTATGTCTACTTTAGAAATACACACCAATAAAAGCATTAAATGGGTCCACTAGAATATAGTTCCAGAATTGACTTCTTTGTCTTAAAGATCTTTATTTTAATCTCAGTACATGTAGGACTACTTCATTTTGTTTAATGTGTATATTGTATTCATTTTATGTGTACAATAGTATTTAACTTCTCGTCCATTGAATGGACATTTACAGGAGAAAGAAAAGTCCTCCTATGTATAGATCTTTTAGCATATGTGCAACTATTTTGCTAACATTGATTCCTAGAAGTTTAACACTGGGTTAAAGGAATGAATGTTTTAAATTTTATAAGTTCTGTCTTCAGTAAGACCATTACAATTTATGCTACCTTGTTAGTATTTACTTTTTTAAGATTTTTTAAATTGATTTTGAGGGAGAGAAAGAGAGAGAGAGAAAAAGAGAAACATGGATGTGAAAGCTATCTCCTGCATGCCCCCTACCAGGGATCGAGGAATTGAACCCGCAATCTTTTGGTGCACAGGATGATGCCCAGCCAACTGTGCCACACTGGCCAGGGCCCTGTGCACATTCAAGAGTTCCCACTTCCTGCCCTGGCCAGTTTGGCTCAGCGGTTAGAGCGTCGGCCTGCGGTCCAGAGAGACCCGGGTTCGGTTCCCGCTAAGGGCACGTACTTCGGTTGCAGTTTGTCGTGCGGGTGGCAGCCACTTGATGTGTCCCTTCACGTCGATGTTTCTCTCTCTCTCTCTCCCTCCCTTCTCTCTCCCTCCAACTCTATCTGTACAAAAAAATGGAAAAATATCCTCGGGTGAGGTTAAAAAAAAAAAAAAAAAAAAAAAGAGTTCCCACTTCCTTACATCCTTGCCAAGATTTTTTAGTATCAGTCTTTTTATTTGTGCCAATCTGATAGATGAAAAATATCTCATTTTGTTTTAGTTTGCATGAAACTGATAAATGAAGTTGAGAATCTTCTTATATGTTGATTATTTTGTACTACTTTTCAGTAAGTTTCCTATTTGTGTTCTTTGTCTATTTTTCTGTTAGGTTGTTTACATTTTTCTTATTGATTATATAAACTCTGTATATATTTGGGATAAGAAAAATTTGTACATTATAAATGTTGAAAATATTTACTTCTTCCAGTCTGTCATTTGTCTTTTAACTTTGTTTTGGATGCTTTATCCATATGGTAATTTATGCTTCTCCTGTACTAATATATGTCCTCTTAAATTCATGTGTTGTGGTGCTAACACCCACAAGCCAGAATGTAATCATCTTTAGCGATAAGCTCTTTAAAGAGACAACTAAGTTAGCCTGGCTGGTGTGGCTCAGTGGTTGAGTGTCGACCCATGCACCAAGAGGTCGTACATGGGCCCAGTCCCTCGTGAGGGGCATGTAAGAGAGGCCAATCGATGTTCCCTCTCATCAATGTTTCTATCTCTCCTTCTCCCTTGCTCTCTAAAATCAATAAAGAAAAAAATTTTATTTTTTTTTTTAGAAAAAGCGATAACTAAGTTAAAATAAGGTCTTTAGGGTGAACCCTAGTGCAAAATGTCTGGAGTAATGACAAGGAAGAGGAAAATTGACCAGAGACACGCACACAGAGAGGGCCGACCATGTGAAGACAGGGTGAAAGCAGCTGTCTACAGGCCAAGGAGGGAGGCCTCGGACCAGGCCCTGATGCACTCTGGTCTTGGACTTCTGGCCTCCAGACCTGTGAAGAAATAAATGTCTGTTGTTTAAGCCCCCAGGTCTGCGGTAATTTATGGCATCAAGCTAATGAACACAGTGCTCTTGTTGGAGACTGCATTCCTTGATTTGAGACCCACTCAGGACTCCAGGGTCTTCCCTCAATTCCAGCTTCCAGGGTGAGGGCTCCCCGTCTCAGGCAGCATAGAGCCGGCCCCATTTCCCCTCTCAGGCAGCTCCTGGCCACCGTCTGCGTAGTCTGCAGGTGCGTTTGTTTTGT